AGGGCAGCTCCCAGTGCTGTGCATTTTTCCTTATATAGTCCTTTTGCTGTATTTTTAAAGTTTAATAAACTCTTTTAAATTTTCAAAGTGAGCAGTTGTTTCTCACATGGGGGTCACAGGTGCCACCAGCTGTGCCCTATGGCCAGCACTGCCCACCCAGGCCCAGGGGAGCACAGGGACCCCAAATGTGCCACTTTCAGGGCTGTCCTTGTGTCTGCACAGAATGGTTTGGGTTGGAGGGGGTGTTAAAGAGCATCTTGGTCCAAATGGCTTTCACCAGACCAGGCTGCTCTGAGCACAGTGACACCTGGCTGGTGGCAGCACTGGGGTGGCAGCAGGGCCAGGGCAGTGCCTGTCCCCTGTGCTGGCACTGCTGGGGCACCTCCAGTGCTGGGGACACTTCTGGGCTTCTCACAAAAAGACCTTGAGGGGCTGGAAGATATCCAGAGAAGGGAATGTACATGGGGAAGGGTCTGGAGCCCCAGGAGCAGCTGAGGGAGCCGGGTAAGGGCTCAGCCTGGAGCAAAGGGGGCTCAGGGGGGCCCTTGTGGCTCTGAGGGCACAGCCGGGGGGGGTCGGGCTCTGCTCCCAGGGAACAGGGACAGGAGGAGAGGGAACGGCCTCAGGCTGGGCCAGGGGAGCTTTAGGTTGGACATCTAGGAAAATTTCTTCATGGAGAGGGTGTCCAGCCCAGGGCAGTTGTGGAGTCCCCATCCCTTAAGGGATACAAAAGCTGTGTGGATGTGGCACTTGGGGACATGGTCAGTGGTGGCCTTGGCAGTGCTGCTGGATTGGATGATCGTAAAGGACTTTTCAAACCTCAAAAAATCAGAGATCCTATGATGTTTAACACTCTGGGATCTACACTGTCCCAGAGGCAGGACAGGGCACTGAGGACAAGCCAGTGATGGGCTTGGAGATCACCTGGCTTTGAATTCCAACTTCTCCCTCTCTCCCATGGAAAGTCTGGCACCACCACTGTGAAACAATTCCCAGGAGGGCACAGCAGAGGCAGCTGCTGCTTGTGCAGCTCAGCAGAGCCCAGAAAGGCCACGTGAGGGTTACACCAACACAGCTGAGCGTTTATGAAGTTCACACCTCCGTTTACAGCGAGGTAAGATGGCAGGGAAGGTCTTAGCAGCCCACATAAAATAAAAAAGGTGCTGAATTCCAGTTAGTGCTTCTCAGAAGGTGTTTGGTTTATGTGGAAGGAGTGCTGAAAAAGCATCTGAACTGAGTTTAAGAGGCCTCCTCAGACCTTAATGAGTGCCTACACATGGATGCTGATGCCCAACTTCAGACCCTCAGTGTCAGCTCTGGCTCACAGCTCAGGGGCAGAAGAATTTAAACATTAAACAAGGTTTTAAAATTGCATCTGTGCATGTTTAGGAGGTACAAAAATGTTTTTATAATGAAAATAAATGTATTCCCTTTTTTCTCCTGGAAATGTTAGTCTGGAGTCCAGAGTTAGTGTGAAGATCTGAGTTTTAATCAGAGACCATCCTAATCTGAAAGAGCAGAAAAATATTTAATTACTCCCCAAAGATGCGGCTTTTTTTTTTCAAAAAAGGGTCTCATTTGAGTCAAAGAAACACTGTGAAAACTCAAGAGGAATGTGAGTAGTGATTTTGGAAGTGATCACCCATTTTAATATCAACCACTTGAGGGCAAACATTGAACCAGTGGAACGAAAGCTGGGAAATAAACCTTCATTCTGTGAAAGTCTGCCAAACCCATGGAAAACATGGAACAACAAAGGAGGTCAGGAAACAACAACAAAATAGAAATGAAAAAATATTTGCCTACAAAAATAAGAGGTGGGGAGAGCCGGTGTGGCAGCAGGGGGACTCACCTGTGTCGTCTGTCCGGCCGTTGGACAGACGGAAGGAGTTGGAGTGGCTCCCTGCCTGCTTGTATTTCTTGAACCTGCCAAGGAGAATTGGGATGGAAAAGTCAGTAAATACCCAGCAGGAAGCCCAGGTCCCCTCCCAGATGAGACCTAAGTAAGAACGAATACTGACAAAAGGAGGAGGACACTCAAAGGTAGCAAAAATCAGAAATTCTGAAGAAAGGAAGTTATTGGTTCAGATTCTACCTATTTTTTACTTTGATCTAACAGCAGAAAAAATATAAAGAGCAGAAAAAACTTCTGTAGCAATATCTCACTTCTTCCTTATGATGGAATAAAACTCTTTATATATAGTTTGCTCAAGGGATATATGCAAAACAGATTTAATCCAGCTGCCTATTACTGTGTGAAAAAGAACAACAATGATGTGGAGAAGGCCACACAGGAATAAAGGATGATTTTGGTAACAGCACACTAACTCAACTTACTACAGGTGAGAATTTATGAGCATAATCACAACCACCTAGAAGCACCCAAAGAGCTCTTTCCCTTTTTTTTGGCCACATTTTCTCAAGGCTTCATGGTGAGCTGGTGGGTCCGGGAGGCTGCAGGAGCTCTGAAACCCTGCCTGTGAGCAGAGCTTTTCACTGAGCACATCTGGAACAGCTGCAGGAGCCCAGGGAGAGCTGGAAAACCAGGAGAAGCTTTAAGGGTGCTCCTTCCAGAGGCACCCCAAGGAGTCCCTGCTCCCTGGGCTGACCCAGCAGAGCACACAAAGCCCAGGTTGTTCTGTCCTGCAGCAAATCCCTGCTCCATGTGCTGTTAACTGGGAGCAGCTGCTCATGCTCCTTTTGCCTGAAATTTGGAGTTTTGCTGAATCATTGGGCAGTGAACACAAACCCTTTCTTTCAGGGCTGGAAGCCAGGTGGGAAGGGCTCAAACTCTGCTGCTGCTGCTGAACTCCTGAGGCAAAACTCTCCTCAGGTTCACTGCTGTGAGGGCAGGCCTGGAGCCAGGAGACACAGGGGAGTTTTCCACTGCTAAGGAAATTGGTTTTTCTTTCTTTTTTTTTTTTTAAGGCTTACTGAATCACCAAACTGGTGAGTAAATGAAAATGTTTACTGCAGGTGAATAAAGACATTCTTAGTTATGCTTTCAGGAGCAGGGAATGCTTAATTTTGAGCAGGGCAGATGCTTGGATTCTAAAAAATGGACCTAAGAAGGTTTTATTTCCAAAAATTGGACTTAAGAAGGCTTTAATTTAAATTACTATCACTCCTCAGAAGTTCCTGCCATTCACAGTGAAAGGTGCACAGGGACCATGTGAGGTTTAGTATCCCAAACAGTTTGGATATTGGATCCTGCTTGCTATCAAGATGGGAATCAAGGAATAACACATTGAAACACATTTGTGTTCAGCCTCCCTGGATAACTCAATCCATCATTTGCAGCCTCACCTGCTTTTCCCCACACTGACAGGGCTTCAGTTCAATTCACCCTGCTAAAAGTGACATTTTGAAAGGCAGAACAGGAATTCCCTACAGGAGGAGCAGCTTTGCAGAGAAAGGAATGAGCATCATTCACCAGATAACCCCAAACATCATTTTCATTCAATGTCCTTCCAGGTTTCTTTTCAAAGCACCAGCTGTGTCAGCCTTTAGAGCTTGGGAGACAGCACAAAAGGCTCATTCCTGTTCATTCAGGAATTATTTCTGTCAAATAAGGCAATCCAGCATTAAAGCAGCTCTTACCTCAACATGTACAGAACAATAATAATAAATACTATGACTAGGAGGGAGGACAGGGCCACCATCACAGCTATAATGGGAGTCTCATCTGCAAGAGGAAGAGAAAGGTGTGGTTATGGGCATTGGAAAACATCCAGAGCCATCATTTAACAATTTCTGCTTGAAGAACAATTCTGATGATGATATTAGTAATAAAAACATAATAAATAATAAATAGCATGAAGTGATGTTGCAATTTTCCAGCCTGAGAGTGAAAACAGAAAAGGATGAGTGAGCATCATGTGCCTCAGACACTCCCAGGTCAGATTAAACCCTGAAACCACCACTCAGAGAACCTCAGTCCTCTCCAAGAGTTGGTCACTGTGAAATTGTGACCTTGCAGATGAAAAGGGTGATGGAGAAAATTGGGACTGGGTTTTTTTGGGGTTCCTTCTGCACAACTGAATGTGCATGTGGTGGCCCAGCAGCCACCAGCAGAAAATTCCTCTATCAGCTGGAAATCTACAAAAAATAAAAAAAATCTACAAAATTTTCTGTCCAGAGAAGTTCCTAGCAGGCCCATGAGTTTGGTGTAAGGAATGTTTAGTATGTGATAAGATTAAATGGGTGAAAACTGTGACCTCTCCAAGACCCCACAGACACATTTGGAGCACCACCAATTTTGCTTCCAGCTCTTTGTCAAACAGGACGAGAGGACAAAGCTTCCTGCTGCCCCTGGGACCTGAACAGCTCCAAGGGTGAGATTTGGTGTGGACCAGGCTGCCCAGGGCAGCTGTGGCTGCCCCTGGATCCCTGGGAGTGTCCAAGGCCAGGCTGGATGGGCTTGGAGCACCCTGGGATGGTGGAAGGTGTCTGGGGTGGAACTGGATGAGTTTTAAGCTCCTTTCCAACTCAACCATTCCACAATTCTGTAATTACAGAATAATTTGGGTTGGAAGTGACCTCCAGAGACCATCTAGTCCAACCTCCTACCCTTTCCTCCCTGGAAATACAGAGTTCAGAGAGCAGGAGAGCTCAGACTCCACCAGGCCCCCAAGTGTGACCCAGTCTGACTCCCTTGCAGAAGCTCCTCAAGGGCAGGTACCTCACAATTCCCTCACAAAACCACTTAAATTACTCTGAAACACTCCCATCCTGCATGACCCACAACAGATTTTATTTTTCCTTTAAATAACCCATTTCCATCTCGTGCTGGAGGTCAGTGAATCAGTGCTTGGTGCTGGCAAATCCCCCAGATGGGTTGGAAGCCAAGCAGCTTCAGCCAGGGAGGAGGAGGGCCCTGAAGGGCATTTTTTCAGATAAATGTGGATGCCAGCCATGCCAGCTGGGGATATTTCCATTTTCCATCAGCTCCCTCCATCTGAGGGGGCCACCACACTGTGTCTACACAGCCCCAAGAGGCTGCAGGGCTCAAGACTTTTCCACCTTCTGTGCATCCATTTCCCTGCAGATCCCCCTCCATGTGGCTCAGCAATTTCAGCCAGCAGATTTCCTTAGCTGGGGTTTATTTTCCCTAATTTCTGTCCATTTGCCGATTTTTTGCTCCTAGGGGTTTATTTTGTCCATCTCTGAGCTACCTAAGGGCACTCTGATTGTATTTCTGTGTTTGCTCCTCTGTCCTGTGGGTTTGGGAATGTTATTTCTATTAAAACATATGATTTTTAAAATATTTGTTAAATATTTCTATTAAAACATTATTTTTTGTGTCATGACTTCAAGGTAATGGCCCAATGTGGCAAATAAAAAAAATTAATTATCCTGGTTTTGCATGTTTTTGTCCTTCTCATCTACTGCCCTAATGTGGCAGCACCTCCCACAGCCCAAAAGGAATTTATTGGGAATTCTGCCTCTCCCATAGCCCAAAGGGAATTTATTGGGAATTCTGCCTCTCCCATAGCCCAAAAGGAATTTAATGGGAATTCTGCCTCTCCCACAGCCCAAAAGGAATTTATTGGGAATTTTGCCTCTCCCACAGCCCAAAAGAAATTTATTGGGAATTCTGCCTCTCCCACAGCCCAAATGGAATTTAATGGGAATTCTGCCTCTCCCACAGCCCAAATGGAATTTAATGGGAATTCTGCCTCTCCCACAGCCCAAATTGAATTTATTGGGAATTCTGCCTCTCCCACAGCCCAAAGGAAATTTATTGGGAATTCTGTCTCTCCCACGGCCCAAAAGGAATTTATTGGGAATTCTGCCTCCTGCACACCTCAATAGGTGATGAGCCTTGGCATTCCCCATCCCAAAACCAAGAACAGGTTGGTGTTGGCCAAACCACAGCCAGCCCTGGCCCCTCACTGAGATTTCTGAGCGCAGCCACCACCTCCATCCTGTGTGCAGGAGGGGAAGAAGAGCTGCCATGCCAAAACCCGTGGTGTTAAATCACTGTTGGACCATTTTTTCCTGCCTTGGCTGGAGTTAAGCTCAGCCTAAGCAGTGCTGGAGCTGCAGGAAGCAGATTTGAGGGCAGGGATGGGTGTGCCAGCAGGGCGCAGGGAGTTTGGAGGTTTTGGGTTTTTTTTTTTTGCAGCTGTTCTTTGCACACATCTGGTGGGCTGAGGAGCTGGAGCTTTCCCACCCAGCCCAGGCAGGAAAGGAGCTGGAGGGTCCCAGCTGCTCCTGCCAGCCCTGCTGAGCTCTGCCAACCCCCCCAGAGCTCCTCCAGCCCCTGCCTGGGGGCTTCGTGCTGGCAATCCACCTGGAAAGGGGACAAGGACTCAACCTTCTGCTCCCCTGGTGCTGCAGCAGCCGCTGCAGGCCTGAGCTTGGGAGGCAGCAGGAGGATTAAATCTTCTCCTGGTCCCTCTGAGGAGCCACCAGATCCCCCTCTGGAGCTTGGGAGCATGTCCCAGCTGCTGGCAGAGGTGTCACCCAGACCTGGGTGACCTGGGCAGCCCCTCCCTGCTCACAGCTGGCAACATCTGCCCACAAAACCAGTCACAGAATGGTTTGGGCTAGAAGGGACCTTGGAGATGATCCCACTCCACTCCACCTTCCACCATCCCAGGTTGCTCCAAGCCCCATCCAAGCTGGATTTGGACACTTCCAGGAATGGGGATCCCACAAATCTCTGGGCATCCCATGCCAGGGCCTCACCACCCTCACAGTGAAGACTTTATTCCCAATATCTAAACCTACTCCCAGTTTGAGGCCATTTCCCCTTGTCCCGTTTGCTCCTGTTAAATATCCCTTATTTAATCTGATTTCCTCACTATATTTATAACAATATTAGCAATATTACTATAAATCTTGTTAGGAAGTCAGATGTATTCCCATTTTTTTTCCTTTGCCCACAGGAGCAGGGATGAAGGATGGCAGAGAGAGCACAAAACCAGGCCTAAGCCAGGCCAGACCTGAGGGAATTACACTGAGCATTTCTGCAGAGGCTTAGCCACAATTTCAAATGAGTTCCTTTGGACCTGCATCCCTTTTATTCCCTCTGCTAAGTGGAAGGGAATAAAAGGAGATGCTCAGAGCACCTGTCTGGGTGAGGCAGGCACAGAGAGCAGCACCAGGCAGAGTTTGCATCAGAGCCAGGACGAAAACACACACACACAGAGGCAGCTGATTCCTCCAGGTGGGAGCCAGCCCAGCTCTGCCCGCTCCTGGAGTGCTAAAGCCATCAGTAATTGCAAATATTCTGGTAGAGATGCCAGTTCTCAGAGCTGAGAGATGGAAAAAAGTCCCTAAAGTGCTGTTCTCTTACAAGAAATGGATTTGTGTTACTGCTTGCCAACAGAATGAGGAGAACAATAATTATTCCCATCATCTGCTGGATGGGTTTGGATAAAATTGTGTAAGTCACAGTCAATAAAGACAATTCAGCAGCAAAAAAAACCACAACAAACCCAAAAGGAAATATCCTGAATGGCTTTTCAGACTTGGGTCATGCAGCTCTAGGGACGTGCTGACATTCTCAGAGCAGGAACAATTGGTACCTAACAGGACATGTACAAATTGGAATGGGATTGTTTCGTTCTAGAAAGAAAAGCTCAACAGAAATTAAGATATCAGTGTGTCACCAGCTCTTTAAAGAGCTTGAGAGGCTTCATAAAAACACATTTGTAAGTCCTAAGGAGAGCTCTCTGATAGCAGAATGCTTCTGGAATTGTTTTTACTGAGTAAAGAGCAATGAAATGTAACATTCTTACCTCTTCTGTCAGAGTTACCTGCAGAAAAAGAAAACAAAAGTCTCTTAGCAACAAAGGAACAAGACATTTTAGTAAGTCAGGAAGGATCAAAGACCAAGACAGGAACAAATTTAGTAACTCTCATCATCTGCCTGTAAATCTTTCTTTTAAAACACTAGCTATAAAACCAGGATGTTAAAAGGAATTTCTGAGTAAGGAAAAAGGAACAAATCCTGAGTTTTTATCAGCAGAACAAGGAGCTGAATACAAGCTTTAACATCACTAAACACAACTTACTGTTTAAACCCATAACCAGCAAGTCACTGGTGTAATTCATTAGCACTTAAATATCAGGAGATGACACGGGTGAATCATTTTAAGAGTGTGGCTGAGCCAAGAGCTCAATTAGGAGCAGCTGGGCTCAGGGATGGGGGCGAGGAGCAGCCAAGGGAAGTCTCTACGTGCTGGGCTGGATGGCTCATCCAGAGGGCACAGGAACAAAGCAGTGCCAGGGAGAGCAGAGCAGAGCCTGCCTTTCCTGGCTTTCCTGGCCAGGAAGAGCTGCAGCACAGGGCTCAGGACAATCCTGGTGGGTTTGGACAAGAGGAACTGCCCCTCCAATGTGTGACCTTCTGGCTGAGTCCCCTTCTGGAGCACCACTTAATTCTTCCATGATAACACCAACATTTCCTGTTAAATCTAATTTATGGCTGCCCTCACGGCAAGGGCAGCCCTAAAACTGATTTTGTTCCTTGATAAATTACTTGAGATAAAGAAAGAATTAGGTTTGATCACTTGTTCTCTGGGGTGACGTCAAGTGAGAAGCCACTTCTGGCCTTGATGGTGTCGTGGCATGCACCAGGGGAATTCACCAAAACTGGTAACCCAAATCACAGAAAGGCAGTGGAGACACAAAAATGAATAAATTCAGCCCCTCAATGAACAGACATCATATTACAAAATCCAGATATTGGCAGCTTAAGGCTTTTGCCTCCATCTCTCCTACATTTATACCAAACTTGGCCCATGTGTGTCTCTGAGGCTCTGCCAGACTCCTTCAAAAAGGATTTGGGTTGGGAAGGAAGATGGATGAGCTCAGGGGTGGCAGAACACTACAAAAGCTGAGTTCTGAACTTCCTCCAACCACATCCCTTCCCATGCTGGTAGCAAAGACAACTTCACTGCAGCTTCAGGGGCTGTGGCTTCCAAAGATCCCCAGAGGAAGAGGGCACACACATCTCTTGGGAAATTGGTCCTTAAGGAATATGCACTTGACACCTCCCTGCATTAACTCCACCATCATCTTGTTTTAGGGTTTTCTAATCCACAACCAAGTTACCAATCCTGTTTTCCCACTAAATCCCAATTGCCATCTTCCTACTGCAAACTGGAGACACACAGCATCCAAACTGGGTCTCAAACAATACAATGAGCAAATCATGGCTGAAGAGCAACAGCTCAGCAAAGATTTCTGGTCACCTCAGCCTCTTTTTGCCTGATTTTTCACTCTTAACCAGGACCGAGCAGCCACAATACATTTTATGGGGTCATTTTCATGATGTGCCAAGAGGGGAATGGGATCAGGATGGCAACAGAGACAACTCTCCCTCATCTGGACCTTTTAAAGATTGAAATTGCCCAACTAATGGAGAAAATTGATAATGTAAGGAGAGAATCACAGAATAGTTTGGGTTGGAAGCAAAGATCATCTACTACCTGTGGAGATCTTTCACCAGATGTTCTTGGTACGAACATTTGGTCAGACAAACCTCATCAGAAGAGGTTTGAGAATCTTCTTGTTTTGCATCACCATGAAATTGGCCCCAAAGTGTTTTGTTTTTGTTTTTTTTTTGCTCCATTTTGCTCAGCCAAACAAAAGAAGAGCAAAGAAACAAACTCAGAGGCAGGGTGGCGTGGAGAAGAAGGAGAAGAAGGAGAAGGAGGATAAGAAGAAGGAGAAGGAGAAGGAGGATAAGAAGGAGAAGGAGAAGGAGAAGGAGAAGGAGAAGGAGAAGGAGAAGGAGAAGGAGAAGGAGAAGGAGAAAAAGAAGGAGAAGGAGGAGAAGAAGGAGAAGGAGAAAAAGAAGGAGAAGGAGGAGAAGGAGAAGGAGAAGGAGAAGGAGAAGGAGAAGGAGAAGGAGAAAAAGAAGAATAAGAAGAAGCAGAAGGAGAAGAAGAAGCAGAAGAAGAAGAAGAAGAAGAAGAGGTGGAGGAGGTGCCTACCATTGTGGGAAGCAGAAGAGGTCTCCTGTGTTGTCACCAGCATGCTGAAATTCCTCTCTGTGGTCTCTGCCTCCGTGCTGGGGACGGTGGCGCGTGGGGCCGACGGCGTCACGCTGGGGAGCAGGGATGGGGCTGGAGGCACAGGCTGGGTTGTCCCCAGCGTGGAGGAGATGTTGAGGCTGCCAGTGGTGGCATTGGGGGAGATTCTGGCAGCTGTGGTTGGAGGAGGTTTTGGCGCTGTGGTAGGAACAGTCCCCGGAGTGCTCATGTTGAGTCTGTGGGTGTTGGGTGTGGTCCCATCCTCAGGACCTGCTGTGGGAGCTTTGGTGGGGCTCCTGGGGGAGGTGGACGCTGTTGTGGGTGGCTCTGAGAAGGGAAAAGCACAGGGGAAGCTCTGTGAGATTCTCTTCTGTCATACTGAGGGGTTTAGATGCTGAAGATTCATGTGACTGTAACTATAAGGATAAAACACCCAACAAATCCTGAGTGCAGGACAGGAAATGCTCTGCACAGCAGGAGATACATATGTCAAAAAAATAAACCCTCAACAGGTGCTATTTATGGGGATGTACAAACATTAGAGCCCCTGGGGGTAAGGATCAATATTGCTCAGAGCTGAAGCTGTGGCCCCATTTATGAGCACCTGAAGCTCATCGCCCTCTTTCCAACAATTTGTTACAGCTACATGGAGGACAGAAGGAATGAGACACTGAGCACATTCCCACTCACTCCTTTGATCCTAAAGGTGGGATAAAAAGAGATGAGGAGCACAGTTTACCTGTTGTAACGTTGTTAGCACCTACACTTATCAGGCCACTTCCGAGCAAAAGGAGAAAGAGCCACAAATCCATGTTGACCTGGGGAGGAAAGCACAGAACACTTATTAAACCCTGATGCAATATCATCCCAAAATATCCAAGGTGGGGATGTTGCTGTGCATCCTGTAAAGCTCAGAGTGGCGAGTGGAAGTGTGGCTGGAGTCCCTGCAGGCATCTGGATGGGAAGGATTTATGGGTGAGTTCATACAACAAGGGGAAAACACATGGAGAAATCCCAATCTGGTGGAGCAGCAAAGTGTCCATGGATGCAGCAGGGAATGGGTGAACTGTGGGAGAGCATGAGAAGAACAAGCTGAGCACTAAAACCAAATATCTGGTCTTGAAGGAGATTAATAAATAGTTTATATAGTGGTCTGCAAATGGCTGTACTCTCAGCAAACTCAAAAGCAATTCAGCTGAAGACCATGGCAAAGAGCCTTGATCCCAAATGCCCCAGAAGTGGAGGCAGGAATGAAGGAGAGGTCAGCTCCCCTTGGCTCACTGACACCTGAAATGTTCCTGGGCAGGGGCAGGACACTCAGCTCCATTCAAACCCTGCGGGATTCCCTGTGCATGTGGTCAGAACAAACACTCACACATAATCCAAGAAGATCAGCGAGTTCAGGCTGCACGCCCATACTGTACGTGCTTCCCAGGAAACGTCCAGCAGAATTACAGGACGATGACATCAGTAAAATCATTTCCCCCAGCCCTTTCTAATACAAGATTTTTATGGTGATTTCTTTCCTCTGGAGACCTCAGAAAGCTCCTGAGAAATGGGTATCATTATCTCCTCCCAAACACCTACGGATCCAGAGGCCCAGAGACGTCATCGTGCTGGCCAGGACAGAGCCCAGAGCTGCCAAGTCCAGGCCAGCACGTGGCCATGGGGCCTTCCAAGGATGGGCCAACACCTCTCCTCTGCTCTGAGCCCAGAGAGGGCTTGCAGACAGCTCTGCTCCATGCCATGGGCCAGCAGCTGCTCCACGGCTCCCGTCCTTCAGGCTGTTGTCCTGTGTCCAGTTGCATCTCCAGGATCTCCCAGGAGAGATCTCGCTGCCAAGTCAACCTGAGGAGCTGCCAAGAACGGGTTTTATTCCCTCCCCCTCTAATAGATCTTGTGTTATTTGTGCTTCTTCTATTTATTTAAATCTGCTTCATGTAGACCCATCCCAAACTCCGGGCAGAAGGACAACACTGAAGTCATCCACGCGCTGGAAACGCTATCAGCAATACAAGATCCTCCCACCAGCACCACCTACTTACATGTTTTTCCTCCCCCTCCAAAAGAAAACCTGGCAAAAATTGACCTTACTCAGTGACCAAAAGGTCAGACAAACCCTGAACCAGAAGGAAACCAAGCTCTGGAGATAAGAGCTCTCCATAGGCTCTGTCCATGGCCAGCCCTGCTGCAAGCAGGGCAGGGCTTTCTCCACGGGTCCCACTGGTGTGAGCAGCCAGCATTCCAGAGGGTTTCATCACCAGTTAAAATATCTGTCTGCGTGAATTTGAACTGATTCAGTACTCCTGTCACTGCTGAGAGCAGCACTGGTCCTGCAATGCCTCCCCCAGGCTGTGCTCCAGGGTGGGATGTCAGGAAAAACCCACAAGCAGTAGTTTGATGGTTTGATGACATGCTCCACTCATGGTGATTAATACACCCCACTCAGCTTGGTCAGACACTTGTCAGAGCCTGGTCTACACAAGTTTGGCTTTGAGGAGAAAATCCATTATTTATAAGGAATAAATTCTTCCCTGTGAGGGTGGTGAGGCACAGGATACCCAGAGGAGCTGCAGCTGCCCCTGGATCCCTGGAAGTGTCACAAGACCAGGTTGGACAGGGCTTGGAGCAACCTAGGATAGTGGAGGATGTCCCTGTCCAGAGCAGAGGGGTGGAAGTGAATGATCTATAAGGTCCCTCCCCAACCCAAACAATTCCATACTTCTGTGATTTTTGTACTTTTCTGCAGGAGGCAGATTGTCCAAGCATCTCACTGTGGAATCCCACAGAAATAAGGTGCTCATCCTGAGGGGACCCATGTGCAAAAGCAGGAGGGAGTTAAACACACACTGAAACTCCAGAGAATGGAAATTACAGCACAGAAATGCTCTGAAAACCTCACAAGAGCTGATGAAAGCACCAAGATCTCGTCATCACAACCACTTCCCTCACTGGGAACCCATCACTGCCACAGCAAGGACACTGTGGCAAGGGAAGGGGAAGACTCAGCTCTTCTGGAAGAACTGCTGGGAAAAAAGTGACCACTGGCTGTGTGTTGATGAATATTTGCACAGAAACACCATTCACTGAGGTGGATGTGGCCCCTTTCTCTTCCCCTAATTTGTTTCTCAAGAGTTCCCCTTCTTTTGGGATCCAGTTCATTTGGGATCCCCATTCATTTTGAGTTCTGTTTATTTGGGATCCTGTTCACTTGGAATCCAAAATCATTTGGGATTCCCATTCATTTGTGGTTCTGCTAATTCATGATCCCACTCATTTGGAATCCCATTTGTTTGGCATTCCCATTTATTTATTATCCCATTAATTTAGGGTCCCTATTTACATCGGGTCCTTGTAAATTTGGGATCCCATTCATTTAGGATCCCTGTTCATCTGGGATCTCCCTCATCCCATTTCTGCTCCTGTTCTGTGCAAGTTGTGCCAGAACCTCCCCATATCCTCCCTTGGTATTAAACCAGGACACAGAGGGTGGGAGCAAAGAAGGAAAAGCCATGAATTCCCTTTCTGCTCTCCATTATCAGGAAATAACCCACAAAGGATAAAAGAGTTTGGGTTTATTTCCACAAACCATGATTGCTACATGGATGAGAGCTACAGGAGATCCCTGGACTGGCTGCAAAGCCCCTTTGGGGTGGTGGGATGATCACAGAATCATTTAGGACGCAAAAGACCCTTAAGCTCATCAAGTCCAGCCATCGATGAGGGTCCCTCCTTCGCTGAGCTGCCAGCACAGCTCTGGGATTACATCAGCAGGCAGGGAGCCCTAAACCCCCCTTGATTCTACATTTAATCAGTTCATTGATCCATGAGTGGATTGCAGGAGGAGGAAGGGCTTGGCAAGGGGAGATAATGCTGGATTTCCCCAAGCCTTGCCCCGCTTAGGTGAAGAAAGCTGGATGCAGGCAGTCCGTGCAGAACCTGAGTTTTTATGGCTTTATTACTGCGACTGTCAGAAGGAATGGGATGCTGGGAGCATCCCAGCTTGCTGTGCACATCATTACCCAAAAATCCAAATCCCTGGAGCTGCTCCTGTGACCGGCAATCAGCTGCCAGAGCTGCTTTATCACCTTAAAACCAGATCCGGAGCAGGGAGCAGGCAAAGAGCCCTGTGCAGGGGGAGGGCTGTGCCAGCCCAGCTCCCACTTCCCAGCCCCTGCTTTAAAACCCTCCCTATTCCCAAAAGCAGCATAAATAACGCCAGCACTTCATCATTCCCCACTCAACATAAAAGGCCTCGAGAGTCCTACCCCAAAGCTGGAGAAACCCGAGTCTCCCTTCCCCCTCGGCTCCCCCTCCCTGCTGCTTTCGGAAACGGAGAGGAAATACTTGTAATGTTATCAACATAAACACAGCTCTTGGCCGGCTGCAACATCCTGCGAGCTCTGCAGAAAAACACCCTGACGTCAGGGCTCTGCCCAGCAGAAGGGAGCTGGAGGCTCAGGCAGTGCTGCTCCACAGGGTCGGGATGCTCGGAATCGTGGCTCCTTCTTTTTTCAGAGATCAGGCTTGGAAAACTCAGTAACTGCCACTGGTGTGCCCATAAATATTATATATTTGTGCATTTTTTGTGTGTGTATAGATGCAGATATAGATTTATAGTGTATGTGCACTGCATTCTTCCGTAAACTGCTTGGGATCTTCCTTATAGGAAAAGCTGAATTTTAAACTGCATATCTATAGAGATAGATATAGATATATAGTGTATGTACACTGCATTCCTCCATAAACGGCTTGGGATCTTCCTTATAGGAAAGGCTGGATTTTAAGCTGCATCTCTATACAGATATAGATATAGATAAAGATATATAGTGTATGTGCACTGCATTCTTCCATAAACTGCTTGGGATCTTCCTCATAGGAAAAGCTGGATTTTAAACTACATATCTATATAAGTATAGATATATAATGTATGTACACTGTATTCTTCCATAAATTGCATGGGATCTTCCTTATAGGAAGGGCTGGATTTTAAGCTGCATATCTACATAGATATGAAGATATAGATATAGATGTAGATAGAGATATATAGTGTATGTACACTGCATTCTTCCATAAACTGCTTGGGATCTTCCTTACAGGAAAAGCTGGATTTTAAGCTGCATATCTGTAAAGATATAGATATATAGTGTATGTGCACTGCATTCTTTCATAAACTGCTTGGGATCTTCCTCATAGGAAAAGCTGGATTTTAAGCTGCAGGATGTATGTTTTAAAAGAAGCAGATCTTGTCAGGATGATTGATGCCGGAGAGGGGAGAAAAAAATAAAGGAAATAATCTCTTTATAAAGTAATAAGTAGCTTCAAAATGCCTGTGCTGGTGCTGCAGGGGGGTCAGGCTGCAGGATCACCCTGCCGTGCTTGCAGAATGCAAAGAATTAGAGTTTATTGCTGCAGAAAGTGCCCAGGTCCAACCCGGATACAGCCGTCCACAATCAAAGGCAGGATTTACCCCCACCTCTGACATATTCCTAATTCCTGGAAAATGAGGCAATCTTTCTCTGTGTGCACTGAGGAGACACAACCTGAATTCTAACCAGCTTTGCCAGGACCCCAGAAATCCCTGCTGTCATCAGGAGGATGCTGAAAGGCAGTGGTGAGACTGAGACTGCCTTGTGCTGGCTCCAAATGCAGTGAAAAATAAAAATAATGTTCAGTTTTCCTCTTTTTTTGTTGGCAGGGGGAGAGGGCGCAGAACTGGGAGCAAGGCTGGCTCTTTGAAGCAGCTCACAGTAGGGCGAGAACAAGCACGAGCATAAAGAAAGGGGAAAAAGGTCATTTTTAAAATTCTTTTTGGTGG